TTCCTTTCTAATCACACTGAGCCATCAGTTCCTGGGGCACACTTTGCTCTCTCCTACCTTAGATTATTGCATTCCCTGTTGCCTCTGCCTACATTCTTTTTATTTAGATCTCAGCGTAAACCTCATTCCTTACAGAATCCTTCTCTGACCCCACTCTCCACTCCTATCCAGCATGGCCAGGTTAGGGTCCCTGGGCATCCTATTGCTTCCCCTCCATCATCTTGGAGACAACGTAGTGATTAGGAGAATGGACACAGCAGTTTCTCTAGTTTTAGATCCCAATTCTGTCACTTACTAGCTTTGCAATCAGAGTCAGTTTTCTTAATTTCTCTCTTTCTTATTTTCCATGTGGGTCCAAAAACCTAGCAGCATACTTGGCGCTCAGTGCTGAATAATTGTCTTTTGACTGACTGCCACATTCTGACTTTTCAGCAGCGGTTATTCACCCTCATTAAAATCACCTGGAGAAGGCCAGGCGTGGTGGCTCACACCTGTAATCCCAGCACCTTGGGAGACCAAGGCAGGTGGATCACCTGAGGTTAGGAGTTGGAGCCCAGCGAAGCCAGCATGGTGAAACCCTGTCTCTACTTAAAAATATTTTAAAAATTAGCTGGGCATGGTGGCATGTGCCTGTAGTCCCAGCTACTTGGGAGGCTGAGGCAGGACAATTGCTTGAACCCAGGAGGTGGAGGTTTCAGTGAGCCAAGATCATGCCATTGCACTCCAGCCTGGGAAACAGAGTGAGACCCAATCTTAAAAAAAAAAAAAAAAAAGAAATCATCCAGGGAGCTTTATAATGCTGATGTCTGGGTGTTAACCCCAAACCAAAGAAAGCAGACCCTGAGATGGAGACTTGCTTGCAGGAAGTTTATGAGGGTGTGCTCTTGGGATCACCACTGAAGGAAGGGAAGGGAACAGGATCAGGCAGAGGAAGCTGTCGGACTGCAGTGCATTCCCAAGGAAGGCCTCAGCTGACCTACTGGCATGGCCTTTCAGAGCTATCCTGGGTTGATCAATGTTGTCTTTATAGTCCTATATTGATCGGTCATTGGATACTGGCCACCTCAGGAAAGGGGTATTGCCTTGAAATGCCGACGCACTTTCCATGGAAGACTAACAAGCCGAGTGCTATCCACTGGCTACATTTTCAGCAACTGAGAGAATAAGCTTTTCATTCCTGAAGGATCAGTTGGGTAGCATATTAAAGAATCTACTATACTGATTAGGTCAGATTCTCTTGGTTTGGGGAAAATTCTCTTGGCCTGGGAATCAGGATTTTATGAAGTACACCAAGGTATTGTAACATGTAACATAGAGAACTATTGCTCTGAATAACCACAATTAAAGCAAAAAGAAGAGAGAAATAAGAAAGACCATTTTCAGGCTCATATGCAGCTCAGCTATACTGAAACCAGGCATGGTAGCCCAACAGATTTTGTGGTAGCCAAAGGCCTGTGCAAGGACATGTCTGTATAGTGTCCCTGCTCAGGTCCCCTACCCCGAAGTGCTGGGAGATGTTCCTATGACCATACAGCTGGGCAGGAACAGAGTAGAATGAATGGTCCTGCTACCCCTAGGTAGCTTTTTCATTATGAGTGACTCAGAAAGCTAGAGTCAGATCAGTAGTCCTTGTGTGTACACTGTAAGCCAGGAACCCCCTGTCAAAACTTCAAAAATCAAGTTTTCCAGAGCTGTGACACCCCCAAACCTACGCTTTTGTTTTTTACATGTAGTTTCTGTCCACAGAGAGTACATGTTTCTCCAAATATTGTTGCCACTGACAAAGGAGTTTTGAGTCACAGAGCACCCAAAATAAGCATAAGGCAAACGCTAGTCAGCTGTTACAGTCTGGAAGCTTTATATTGGCTGTTCTGGATGGTTTAACAACTCAATATTGACTTTACTTCCAAATTGATGACAGTTTAAGAGATTTTTCTGATCCTATTGAGCTTAGCATACATTTTGTAATAGTTGGAATTTTTAATGACTGAGTCCTGAAATGAACTTGCTGCTTAGATGGTTCAGAGTTCAACCTGGGTCAGAACAAGGGACAAGCTGGCTGTTTATCAATTACCTACTTTGTGCTGGGCAGCACATGCTCTCTTGTTTTGTTCTTTATACGCTACAATAACACCTTCCAAATTTAGGTGAAGAAACTGAAATTTCAGGAAATCTGAATAGTTTGATTCTTCCTGTTTTCTTGCCACTCTTACCCAAATTCCAGACAAAACCCTTCAGTGACATCTCTAAAATTTATCTCAAACATGTCCACTTCTTTCTCCTAGTCTAAGCCACCATCATTTCTTACTTAAACTATGTTGATATCTTCCTAGCTGTATCTTGCTCTCTGTATACTCCAGAAAGAGAGATGCAGCAGCCAGAATCATTTCTTTGAAACAGAAATCAGATCTTGGCCCTCCCCTGTGGGAAATTGCTCCATGGCCTTTAAAATAAAGCTTCATCCCATATTCTGGCTTTTAAGGACCTTCACAGTCGGATCACTGCCCACTTTGCTGGCTTCATCTGCCTTCATTGTGCCATGATCACAGAGTCCCACAGTCCACAGTTGCGTGGGCCTTCTCTCTGTTCCTTGAGTCTCAAGGCTTTTCCCGGCCCAGGGCTGGTGCTCTGCACAGGGGATGCCTCCTTCCCCAGTCATTCTCATGTCAAGCTGGCTCCCGTGCTTCTGTCCCAGGTCAAGTGCTTCCTCTCAGAACGGAGCATTCCTGACCGCCCAGTTCATAACCCCTTTCCCCATACCTAGATAACTCCCCGTTAATTTGCCTAGTTTATTTTGTATTTAACATTTATCCCAATCTGAAATGATCTCATTTGTTTATTTGTTCATTGTGCACTCTTTTCCTATGAAAATAGAGCCTTCATGGGGACAGAGACCTTGTCGGTCTTGTTCATTTTGTATCCACAGCATCTAGCACTGTGCCCTGGTGCAAAGAAGGTCGTGAGTAAAATTCTGTTCCGTAAATTTTGTTTGGTACCTATGCGGTCAATGAATGAACAAAAGAATGAATGAGTGGACTTTCTAAGGGTGGGAAGTGGCAGAGCTGGGGTTTGAATCACGGTGTCGTCAACTCTGAACCCTGCCCCCTTTAGTGCAGGGTATCTTTGGGTGGTCAGGGAGTCTCTCCAGTCTTGGGGAAGACCTGGAGAAAGTGAGGCTCCCCATGCTGCCTTGGGTTGTAGGTGCCTTTTGTTGTTTAGTTCTCGCAATACTCCTGTGAGGGATGTAAGGTGTTTCCTTTCAGTGTCCTTGGCATTTTAGAATGCAGTCAGACTAGCTCTAGGTCCCCCAGATGATCTAGTAGAAGTGAATGCCTAAACTGAGAGCCTGGCACACGTGTCGCCATTGTGCAGAAGAGCCTTCCTGCCTGTGCTCTGTGACTTCTGAACCCATTTCTAAAGCAAGTCAGGTGTGATTCATTAGGGCCCAACTCAAAGACAGTGCCTGCTTTCATGAACATTATTTCTGTCTCTCAGTGAGTTGTCCCATGAGCCCAGGGCTGAGCTGAGTGAGCAGCAGCCCGTGCAGAACTGTAAAGAAGTCCAGCCTTGGCTGTAATCCCATCACTTTTGGAAGCCAAGGCAGGCAGATCACCTGAGGTTGGGAGTTCTAGACCAGCCTGACCAACACAGAGAAATCCCGTCTCTACTAAAAATACAGAAAATTGGCTAGGCATGGTGGACATATGCCTATAATCCCAGCTACTTGAAAGACTGAGGTGGGAGAATCACTTGTACCTGGGAGGTGGAGGTTGCAGTGAGCCAAGATTGTACCATTGCACTCCTGCCTGGGCAACAAGAGTGAAACTCCATCTCAAAAAAAAAAAAAAGTCCAGCCTTTCAGCCTCTCTCCTCTTATTTCCCTCACTCCCAGTGCCTGCCTCCCTGTTCCTGATGGCCTTCCACTCTGGCTGTTGCTTTACCTTGCTTTCTCCTATTCGCACTTACCCAGCCTGTTTTAAGGACAATGGCTGATTAGATTAATAACTCTCTGCTGTGCTCTCTGGGTAGTTTAATCTTTGGCAGAAACTATAGAGATGAAGCAATGCTAAGAGTTTCCTGTAGACCATTCTAGCAAAGTAGCCTTATGGACAGATTCCATGTGATATCACAGCTGCCCACAACAGAGACTGTTGCTGAATGCTCTCCAACACTTCGTTTGATGCCATAGCTCCCTAGGAAGGGAAGCAGTACAGCACCATTTAACAGATGAGGAATGCTCAGGCAGAAAATTAAGGACATTGTCCAACATCATGCAGCTACTAAGTGGCTGATATGAGAAGCAGATCCAGGTCTTTTTGACTCCAGAATTGATGCTTTTTACACTAAGCCTAGTACAAAAAGCCCCCAGCCCTTGCCTGGCTAAATCAAAAGTATAGGATCAGGTGAGAAGGGGAGCCCAGCCCTAACTCAGGATTTCTGAAAAAAAAAAAAAAAAATTGGGCTTTATTTTTAACCTTCTGGTGTTCTAGTTTAGAAGTAACTTTGACTCCTAGGAGGAGTCAAAATTCAAGGTGCTTTACCGTAGACAAAGGAAAGCTGTGGGTTAGAGGAAAATGAAGCATAACGCATAAGACACTTGGCTGTGGGTTCTCTGGCACTTATGGCATTATAGTTTGAGCTGGTTATATAACTTTCTTGAGCCTTACTTTTCTTTCACATGTAAAACAAGTATACTAGGAGTATACCCATATATCCATAGCATATAGTAAAGATCAAATGTGATGCATCATATAAAGTTCTTAGCATAGTACCCACACATAACATTTATTAAATTTAGGTGAAAAGAGAAAGACTAATGAATTTTTTTCTTAGTCCTGATCCTCATAAGGTTTTATAGACAATATCTCTTTAATACATGGATAATTTTATACCCTGATTTTTCCTGTTAAGTTCTTTAAAGTAAAAATCAGGTCAGAGTTAAGCCTTATTTTAACAAGATGAGGCATTCTTAAAGAAATGGCTGCTTTTATTCAATTATAAACATCTTATAATAAAATTTTGTTTAATGTTTTAAGAAACACTTTGAAAAGGGATGAATCACAAAATGATCCTCTGGATCTGTGTTTCCTCTTTACGAAGTAGAGAGTGGGTAATCAACAGTTATCTTGAGACTTTCATATGTTAAGGAGGATAATGAGGAGAGAGAACAATTCCTTCCAAAACTCTTTTCCTAAAGGAAAATATTAGGAGAGAGTAGAGAGCGATTATCAGAAATTTCATAACGATGGATGCAAACATTCGCCCTTATTTATTCACACCCTTAGTTTCTCTTCATGCTTGGTCACGCATCGTAGCATACATATTAGATCCTGCAATGCCTTCTGGCCTGAAGCTAGCCTTTCCTTTAACAAAGATCTTTCAGTGGTCTGTTAATTAAAAGCACTGGGAGGAACTCGAGATTGTGTTAATTAAATATTTCTTTTGGAGAAAAATTGTTAAACAGTCCATAAATGAAAATGACTAAAGGCATTCCTTTTCACTGGGATCAGGACAGCAGTCATTAAAATCTTCAAGGTAAATCCTTTTAAGTCTGCAATTTTACTCTGTCATAGACCTAAAAAACTTCAAAAGTTATTTACATATTTAGGAGGAAGTACCCATCCAAGCAGTTTTTAAAAAGATAAATACATACACTTTTTGTTCACTAGGTGAAAATCTTGTGTCAGTCCTTCTCACGTTATGTCCCATGGAGCACAAATCGCTTGAGATCTTCCATTGAAAAAGGGTTCTGTCATCAGATGAGTCTGTAGAACTTGGCAGACTGGATCTCTACTCCACACACATGAAGATTCACAAAGCACAGTAACATATTAGAAACTCTCAGTAAGATCTACATTAAAGAATCCAGTTTAACCTTTGTTAAAAGGTAGCAATTTTCTCAAAGCAGTTAACCTAGAACCCTTGTTTTGTATAGCACCTATCAGTGTCATACTACTCTCATGGCACTTAATGTATTTAGTTGAAATTGTCTACCTAACTATCTCCTTAAATCAGATGTAAGCTTCTGGAGAATACGGCTCCATATTGTTGTGTTTGTTTTGTTTTTTATTCCTGGTATCAGTGAAATTTCTGGAACAAAGTGGGTTCTCCTGTTAGTAACCCATAAATAGTTAAGACAGAGAACTGAACTATCAATGAATGGTGTTGATGCTAAGGATGAACAACATAATTCCATCAAAGAAAAGAGGAAGATTAAAAGTTTCTGCCTTTAGAGAAGATAAACCATAATCCCTTATAGCACAGCACCTGAGCAATTTGTCCTAGAAGGAATTTTAGTGTGAATACTTAAAACCAGGAATGCCTGGCTAGAGTGGAAACTAGGACATTTATGGACATGTATATGCTGAGTTTGATTTGGAGCTTTTTTTTTTTTTTTTTTTTTTTTTTTTTTTTTTTTTAGACAAGGTCTCACTCTGTTGCCCTGGATGGAATGCAGTGGCACGATCATGGTTCACTGCAGCCTCCACCTCCTGGGCTCAGTCAGTCCTCCCATCTTAGCTTCCCAGGTAGCTGGGGTGCACCCCCAGCTAATTTATTTTTCATTTTTTGTGGAGACAGGGTCTCACTGAGTAGCTCAGGCTGTTCTCAAACTCCTGGCTTCAAGCTGTCCTCCCACCTCAGCCTCCCAAAGTGCTGGGATTACAGGCATGAGCTACCATGCTTGGCCTGTTTTGGAGCTTTTTATGATAATATTTACTAAAACCAAGAGCTGTGATTCTTCCCTTTGAAACAGCTTTCCATTCTTTAATTGTGCCTTTTCCTATTCCCAAGAACCTAAATCAAATTTTACCAGCCCCCATGCAATTCCCCTGATCCTTTGCCTGCCCCTCAACATAGCTTCTCCAGCCTCCATTCTGTGATCATAATCAATGATGCAGTTGCTTGTGCAACATGCACCATGTCATACTCTCCCCACCTGCTCCACCTTGGTCCTCCTAATGCCTGGAATCCCAGGGCAGCTTTCATCTTTACCCCAGTCTTCTCAAAACAGCTGGAGAAAATAAGACTCATCTCCACTGTCCCTCCATTCTGCTGGGAAAGCCTTTCATTCATCTCTTCTCTCACTGACTTTTCCTAATCGCTCATCCCAGATTTTTAGATCTGTTTTCACTTGCAGATTTCCAACTTGACCCTCCCTGCCTCATTCTTAGGTTGTGATCTCATGGGTTCATCTCCCAAAAGGAGGAAGGCATCCAACACAAGCTCCTTCAGTTCCATTCCTCTCTGAATCTTCACCTGCCTCTCTTCATCTCCTGATCAATCTGACAAAGAAAGTATTATCCTTGCTCTTAGTCAAAATCAGCCTGCCCATCTAGGCATGTATCTCACCTTCCTGCCTCCTCTGGGAACTTATTTCGTAAATTATTCCCTCTCTGGTAAATCTTCAATCTCTGTTAGTCCTTTGCATACTGCCAATGTATGTTAGTCTCCTGCATTCGAAACAAATGAACGATAAACCTTCCTTTCATCTCATTACCCTTTTAAGCTGCCAATCCCTCCCATTCCTTTAGAATCCAAACTTCTCGAAAAACCTATCTTCAATTATTGTCTTTGTTCCAGTGTGGCTTCTCATTCCTCAAATCCTTGTCTTCTGCCCTCTGTCTTCCTCCTCCAGTGCTCCCTCAGGGTTTATCTACAGCAAACTACATCTCATTGATCTTGTTGCAGAAATAATTCTGCAACCCAAGAAAGTCCTATGATTCTCTCAATGTCCACTTCAGATGCCTCTTCCTCTTTGATTTTTTTATAAGTCATTGACTTGGGTTTTCCTTGTTGGAATGATATTTGTGTAATGAAGGAGATCTAGTTCAAGAATATAAAGAGTTGGCCTGACTCTACCTTTAACTATGTAAATCCGAATGTCATGTCATCTTTCTATGAAACAAGGATGTGTTTTAAAATGACCTCTCTGTCTCTTCTACCTCATGTTGTATTTTTTGACATCTTAATAGCAGCAACTGTATTTTAACATTATGCAGCACAGTTCTCATTGGTAACTTTCTCTACTTCTTCATTTCCTCTTATAAAAAAATCTTGCCCTTTTTAGGAAAAAAAATAGTTGAAATGTAAGCCTTTGATTCAAATTTCCACTTTTAAAATCTTTTTAACTGTGCCCTTTCAGAATGAAAATACGATTACTTGTAAAATACTTAGGTTCTGAATTTTTAAAAGCAGCTCTAGAAGTTCACTCGAATAGAAAAGCAAATCTAGAACATTTCTGTAGAGATTTATAAGTAGTTGGCTGTTTAACAGCAAGACATCCTGCTGTAAAGAGATTAAGGAAGCAGAAAACCAATGTGTAGACAAGATACATGAGAGGAGGTGAATTTCCTATCACATTTCATGATGTCTGGGAACATTGGAGGAGAACTGCTTCAGGATATTAATGTCCCAGCATTATTAAAGCAGAGCAGCTGAGAGAAAAGTAGAAGTAGAAAGATCATTACTTACTAACAAGATAATCAACACTTTATAGACCAGATTAAGGTGACTTTCTATACAGAACAAGGAAAATTATACTGTCAAGTGGAATAAGTTTTCATGTCAAAGAATAGAGGAGCTAAGGATGGAAAAGGAATCTGCTCTTGAGTTTTTCAAGCTAAACTCAGCATCGTTTATGAGTCCAAGAATTCTACATTGCTTTAAATATGAGTAAGGCAGGGCTGAGATACTCTTGTTTTCCTTCTGTTTCATTTCCTTTCAGGTATTTGTTGAGGGCTTCTGTGTTTCATGCCAATTTATGAGAAAATTACAAGAAGACCGAGTAGCACAACTGGTAGTTGCTAACACGGTTTACAAGAACATAATGTTTATGTCAGTCAATTCTTTCGTGACTTTCCTGAGTAATTAATTTCCTGGAACATTGTTGGATCAGCAATTTGTTCTCCCAGCCATGTGGAGACATCTGAAAAACAGACCAGGCATTCTTTCCCTATAGTTTTACTAATAAGCTTAATTAGGTAGACGTTTATTCCAAAGTTTGTTATGAACCTAAAAATACCACCTCCCTTCCCCACTTCCAAATTTCTGACTTGTGAATATTTCACAGCCTTACAATCGTTGGATTTTAAAGGAATATTTTCCCAAGTTCTGGGTGATGCCATATTATTTTTTGATACTCACAGTGAGATTCTCTGGGGATCTTCTGGTTTTCTGAGCTCATAGACCAAATAAGTATTTGCTGGCCTCTGGATCTACAAGATCAACTCACGCAATTAGAAATTGACAATTCACACGTTAATAAAGACTCTCTAATTTCACCAGAGGAAACATACCTTATTTCCTTTTGCATAGATATCCCTATCCTTTCTCTTCTTCTCTTGTGTATCCTTCTATGGATATTTTCTGCACTGTCTGTTGAGTTCGGACCTCTAGTAGAAGTCTCTCTCCAGGGAGTTCACAAATCACTTCACTCCGGCATACCCCACCATACCAATAACAGTCCATGAGCTTTTAATTTTTGTTTAGTATCAGGTTACATGTGTATCTGTACAATGCTCAAAGACAAATTACTATTTGTGGCTCTCCCTTTTCAGCTCAGTCTTCAAGCCAACACATTTGGTTCTCTGTTTTATTCTTCAAAAGAGGAATGCCTCATAAACAAATCTGAAAGGCAAATGTAAATCCAGAGGGGGGAAAAAAAGGTTTCAACATATGCAACAAACTCTTAATACATTTAAAATAAATCTATAAGTCTAATAAATCAGTAAGCAAAAGGTAAATTAGGCAATAGGAAAGTGGATAGGATATATACAGGCAAATCAGTAAAAAGGAATACAACCAGAAAATAAATGCACAAATATATCCAACTTTATTATAATCAAAGAATTTTTTTTAAGACAGAGTCTTACTCTGACACCCAGACTAGAGTGCGGTGGTGTGATCATAACTCACTGCAACTTTGACCTCCACAAGGTCAAGTGAACCTCCCACATCAGGCTCTTGAGTAGCTGGGACTACAGGTGTGTACCATCATGTACAGCTGATTTTTGCATTTTTTGTAGAAACGGAATCTCACTGTTACCCAGCTGGTCTGAAACCCCTGGGCTCAAGCGATCCACCCATGTGTGACCTCCCAAAGTGCTTTGCAAGCATTGACCACTGCACCCAGCCAAAGAAATCTTAAAAGTAATGAAATAATACATTTGTCCATCAAAATATTTTAAAAATATAGTGCCCTGGAATATGATGTTTATATTAATTGCAGTATTTATACTGTATACCATTTGCATTCAGTTTATTAATTTAAAAATAAAGGTTTCACTTTTGATGCATGTGTGTATATATATATACACCCACATATGTGTGTGTGTGTGTGTGTGTGTGTATAATATTTATATTTGGGTTGAAAGTAAAAAGATTTATCTCTAAATATGTGTAATGCATACATATATACATATCAATGTTTTCTGGTCTAAGTGACAGATTTATTTTTAAAATACATAATTATACATACATACACATATATGTTTTCTGGTCTAAAGTAAACGATTTATTTTTAAATTGATAATTGAATAAATACATTCAAATATACGTATATGTATATACAGTCATGTATCACTTAATGACGGATACATTCCAAGAAATGTGTTTGTTAAGCAATTTTGTCCTTGTGAGGACATCATATTTACACAAACCTAGGTGGCATAGCCTACTACACACCTAGACTATATGGTATAGTCTATTGCTCCTGGGCTGTAAACCTGTACAGCATGTTATTGTACTGATACTGTCTACAATTACAACACAATGGTAAGTATTTGTGTCTAAACATATCTAAAGATAGAAAAGATACAGTAAAAATATGGTAGTATAATCTCATGGGACCACCATTGTACATGCAGTCTGTCATTGACCGAAACATCATTATGTAGTGTATGACTATATGTATATAAACGTGTGTGCACAATACACACACACACACACGCGCACACACACACACACACACACATATATGGGTATACATATGCACATGTGCACATATATATATATATATATATATATAAAAATGGGTACATACACACACACACACACACACACACACACACACACATATAACATGACCCTGGAAAGGTGAGGATGCAAGGAAATAAGGATTATCGTGTGGTCTTAAATGAGGGTAAACTGGTACAATGTTTTAATAATAATTTAATTTCATGAATCAAAAAGCACTCAAACATGCATTCTTCATTACATAACAATTCTACATCTAGGGATTTGTTAAAGAAATAATCATAGCTATGCGCAAAGATTTAGCTATCATCATTCATTCCAGTAATATTTGTAATACTGAGATGGTGAAAACTACCATATTTGTCTGTTATTAGGGGTTGGTTAAATAAGTGTGGCATAGGTTACAAAGGGAGGGGTTAGAGTTATGTAAGCTTTAAACTGCGGCTCTGCTTCACTTCATGGATATACACTTTGGCTTGGGAATCCATGAAAATTAGACTAATTGTCTCTATTTCTCAGAGGTGAGAGGGACAAAGTCAGTATCCTGTTTATTAGCAGAGAATTGCTAAAAGTGCCTGCTGTCTTCTTCAGACCTAGAAGTTCATCTAGAGCGGAGTGAGCCCTTGCAAGGCAAGGGGAATACCTAGATTCTTCCTTTTTTGCTGTTTGTGGATTACATTCTGTATATCTATCTTCTGGCAGGACTGACCTTTTTGTATCTCCATCCAAGTGAGTCACAACAATGACTTCAATTGTAATGCCTATTCTTAGACATGACAATTAAATTGGTCTTTACATTTTATTACATTACATTGGTCAGGAAAGTGTTCCACCAGGAATGCCCTATAGTAGGAGGTGGGCCAGAGAGAAACCACATTGTATGTTTACCCCAGCATTGATTTGTTTTATATATATAAAATCATAGGCACCCTGGATGCCTATTAAAAATCACCAGACTGGCCAGGCACGATGACTCATACGTGTAATCCCAGAACTTTGGGAGAGTGAGGCAGGCAGATCACTTGAGGCCAGGAGTTCAAGACCAGCCTGCCTAACATGATTAAACCCTGTCTCTACTAAAGTAAAAAAATTAGCCAGGCATGGTGGCACATGCCTGTAATCCCAGCTACTCAGGAGGCTGAGACACGAGAATTCTTTGAACCCAAGTGGCAGAGATTGCAGTGAGCCAAGACTGTGCCACTGTACTCTAGCCCAGGCAACAGAGCGAGACCCTGTCTCAAAAACAAAAAAACAACAAAAAAAAATGTAGTCACCAGACAGTCACCTGTCCTCTTCCTGAGAAGGACATGTAAAAATCAGTAAGGCATTTGCATCTATTTTCCTTCAGTGATAATGAAAGCTTTATGGGATAATTAAATATAAAAATGTCTTCATTATTAGGGTGTGGAATTAGACACTCAGACACTAAAACATTAAAAATTATGTCATCTTAGCTTTGTCTTATGTTCATTTTTTCAGAGGCTTTTCTCATTTATTTTCCACTTGCATCTTCAACATTAATTATGTAGGATGAGTCTTTCGTCCCACCATGAAAAGAACAAGAACTTTGTAATCAGACAGACTTTACTCTCAAAACAAGGGGGAAATGGGTGCAAATGAAGATGAGGGTGTAGATGTGGATGTCGGAGAAGTTGTGAGTGTTCCTTTTGGGAGGCCTACATGTTCAGTGCAGAGCAGGGCAGTGATGCCTTTGGCTAAGAGAGAGAAGGATGTGGATGAAGTCAGGGAAGAGCTGTTGTGGAGAAGAGGAGAGGCTATGGCTGGTTCGACATTAGCCAGTTCGGAAAATCAGCCACAATCTATATAAGAGTCAGGCTCCTGTGCTGAGTTACCAAAATACTCTATAAACAAACATATGGTAAAATGACAGGAAGCTGGTTGTAAACAGAAGTCAAAGAAATGTTTGGTCCCATGCTATTAATTGAGGAGTTGTATCATGTATCTCAAAATCGTATTTTAAGATACCTAAAGCAAAATAGGGAAAATGAGGAGGCTGTATAATGAAGTATATTCTATCGGGGATCCGGAAGGAGTACCATGTTTCATACCTGAGTCTGCAGCTGGTTGCGGTGTGAGCTGCTATCACGGGCTCTCTGGACCTGTTCTTCATTCTAAAAAATGGCTGATTCTGTGGTCCCTTCTGGAACCTCCCCTTCACTTACAGTGGCCCAAAGATGTGAAAATAAAGCAGATTTCTGAAATCTGTGAGTTGAGAGATCTGGATGTTTACCACCCAAATAGCAATGAAAAAGTTCATCTGAAGGCCTGTATTCTATCACAGTGGGGTCCTAGCCCAGACCTGAAGGCTTCTGGAAGGAGAAAAACTTTCACACTAGGAAAAGCTGGAAGCCGCTCAATCTCTGTCACTTGTGAAAGCCAAAAGTTGAATTAAGTCAGATGGGTCTTTTAAACAAGAAAAAACTAACCAGATGGGTTCTTTAAGAAAAAAAGTTTTGGTCAGCTAAAAACTTATTTAAAAACACATGGTCATTCTGCCTTTTGTGGGAGATGAAGACCAAATATAGTCACTGCAGGGAGGCATGGTTTTGCAGTTTAGCAACTATTTCTCAAAACAGTGCTAGGTTCTAAGAATGCTAAAATCTCACATTTACTTTTCTAGATAAAGCTTCACTTAGCCTGTCTTTAGGGATTTGTAATAATTTCATCCATTTTGCCACATATCTCAATATTGAAAATTTTTAAAAACTCTATTACAACTTATTGTCAAACAGTTAAATGAGTGCAATTACATCATACAGTATATCTTACAGTTGTGTCAATAGCATCTTAATGAAGGGCTGTGGAATTTCACTGACTGGATTATAGTAATTTTGTGAATAATTATGCCGCCAACTCTGTGGTTGTCATAACCAAATTTATCTGTGCAAATGATTTCAAAAGATTTTAACCTCATCAGAAGAAAAGTTAAATTTAACTCAAAATTGAACCGTCTGGGAAATTGTTAAGGTCCACCACTTATAACAAGAACTTAACTAGGTTCATTTTGTGACCATGGGTAAGTTATGATATTGTTGGCACAGGGCTGAAATGTTTCTATCCAAATATAGAAGGCAATTTCTGGAAGCTATCATTCACATGCTAATTATAGGCCTTAATGGGGCCATTCGATTGGTAAAGTAGATGGTGGATTAACCCAACAACCTGGCCTGCCATGTCTATCGAGAAGGCCATGGAATCTACTCCAAAAGGCAGTGAAAAAAACAGTTAATACAGCCAGTATTTAGTTCTTTAACACAAACAGTCCCTTTGAACTGCAAAACAAAGATATAATTTGATTTGATTTCACAGCACCCTACAAAACTTATTTCCTCCTTCTCCCAGCAAAATTCTATTCATTATATCTGGCAGTTCTTAAACTACGACGTCTCATAAAGAGAAAAGGAATAACCTTAATTCTTTTAAAACCTATCTTGATTTAGTTTGAGAACATGAATTCTTTTCATATCTGATTCTCTACTTGTTCTTTCCTGGGTACTTTTGGTTTTTTTAAGGTGAGGATCTCATTCTGTCACCCAGGCTAGAGTGCAGTGGTGTAATCACAGCTCACTGCAGCCTCAGCCTCCCAGGCCCAGGTGATCCTGCCGTCTCGGCCTCCTGTGTAACTGGGACTACAGGTG